GCCATCACTAGTAGGTTGGAGGCCATCGCTTCTAGGTTGGAGGCCATCACTAGTAGGTTGGAGGCCATCGCTTCTAGGTTGGAGGACATATCGCTTCTAGGTTGGAGGCCATCACTAGTAGGTTGGAGGCCATATCGCTTCTAGGTTGGAGGCCATCGCTAGTAGGTTGGAGGCCATCGCTACAGTAGTAGGTTGGAGGCCATCGCTAGTATGTTGGAGGCCGTCGCTACAGTAGTAGGTTGGAGGCCATCGCTAGTATGTTGGAGGCCGTCGCTAGTAGGTTGGAGATGGTTGGAGGCCATCGCTGCAGTAGTAGGTTGGAGGCCATCGCTAGTATGTTGGAGGCCGTCGCTACAGTAGTAGGTTGGAGGCCATCGCTACTAGTATCGCTAGTATGTTTGAGCTCATCGCTACAGTAGTAGGTTGGAGGCCATCGCTATTAGGTTGCAGGCCATCGCTAGTATGTTGGAGGCCGTCGCTAGTATGTTGGAGGCCATCGCTACAGTAGTAGGTTGGAGGCCATCGCTATTAGGTTGCAGGCCATCGCTAGTATGTTGGAGGCCGTCGCTAGTATGTTGGAGGCCATCGCTACAGTAGTAGGTTGGAGGCCATCGCTATTAGGTTGGAGGCCATCGCTAGTATGTTGGAGGCCGTCGCTAGTATGTTGGAGGCCATCGCTACAGTAGTAGGTTGGAGGCCATTGCTATTAGGTTGCAGGCCATCGCTAGTATGTTGGAGGCCGTCGCTAGTATGTTGGAGGCCATCGCTACAGTAGTAGGTTGGAGGCCATCGCTATTAGGTTGCAGGCCATCGCTAGTATGTTGGAGGCCGTCGCTAGTATGTTGGAGGCCATCGCTAGTATGTTGGAGGCCGTCGCTACAGTAGTAGGTTGGAGGCCATCGCAGTAGGTTGGACGATGCACAAAACGACCTGTGCGGGCTCACGGTTGAACGAGCTTCCCCCCCAAAGTCGACGACTCCAAAAACCGGGGATCACCTGATTCCTTCCCACAACGCACCAAGTCGCAAATCCCATTGGTTGGGGATCCGTCAGACCACCCCGGCTGCACCCACTGCTGTGTTCGTGCGGCCCAGCCACCGTCCGTGCTGGGATCATACTTGGCGCTGCCGGTCTGCGTACTCTCACAGACTTGACCTGAAAAAGAAGCCAGCAAATCCGAAGCGCATGGCAGTCACTGGCCGTCAAATTAGCAAAACCCACCTGTTGGGGGTGTTCAAGGATCCACATGGATCCTAAGTAATTTTCGGGCCATCAAGAGGGACACACCGGAGCTGCGCTTTATCGCATTTCATGAACCCCTGCCTGCAAGCTTCGAAACCGCATAGAACTCTGTTTCGGTCTTTGGCCAAGCATCTTCACTACATCCATCGCGCTGAGAACAAGTGTAGTCACAGCTAGCGCCCCCAGCGCCCTTGACCCAGGTCACGCTGCGCACTGGCGTGATATGTGTGAGCAGTAGAAGCAGCAAGGCAAAGAAGTTGGTCATGAGGAATTCAATCTCTGTGACTTAATTTTGGGCCAATGTCTGCAGAATCTATGGACCGTGGCTCTCCCGTGCCTCGTAAGATTCGTCTAGCCACAAGTCTGCTGTGCCAATGGCTGATAGACTTCAAGCAAGCCATCCAGCACCCTTTTTACTGTGATCACTCAGATTGTCACAGCCTCGATGTCAGTGTCCTGGGAGACCATTCGCTTGGTTCGATGCTGAAAGCAAGGATCTAGGAGAGACGGGCTGAGAATCGGGTTAAGACGGGCTGACACTCCAATCCTCATCTTCGGAGACAGCATCAACATCTGTGGGTCCCTGCCGAGGCGCAGCTAACATGAGCAAACCACAGCAAGTGTGAAAGCAAACAATTACTGGGACTCGGCTGCACGCCTCTTGGGGCTTGCCATTTCTGCCACCTGCGGGCTTGGCATTGCATCAATATAAGCTGGTCAACCGCCTCAGGCCTGCTCGTACTCTGCTGGCAACCTGCTGGCAATTTTCGGTGACCACTGACACTGCAACTCCCTGGAAGTTCTTGATTGCACCAGTATTTATGATCAGGGCAGAGCAATATTACATCAATCTTGTCATACAATGCAAAGCGCTTCGGCATGCAAGCTTCAAGCCGGGAACGTTTCAATAGGCTCGGGCCTTGGCATTCTTGCCGGGAGGCCGCCTGCAAAAAGGTCAAGCAAGAGCAGGAGCTGTATAGATCGGATCAAAGGTCAAAAGCCTGAGCTAAACCAGAGAGAGAGAGAGTGCTCCAATGATCTTATCATATCCAACAACACACACACACAACAGTACATGAGTTTGACCCCTTTTTGGGATGCATCGCAATCTGAATCTTCACCCACCTACCATCACCCACTAAGCTTGTTGTTCGGCCTCTCGTCCTCTTCGGAGTCGGCCTGGCCGAGTCAAAGGGACGTCCCAGTGGAGGGTCTGATGGGTATCCTGAAAAGATCTCAATGGAGAGAGGTTCACTAGGTGTCATGAGAGGTCTATACATATACATACATATACATTACACAAATATACATATATATATATACATATCTATTAGATGTTTATTTGACCGACTTGCCAAAAGTGTCAGACCTTTGCAAGATCATCTGCGATCCTACCGCGTCAAGCTTCGGTGTGCCGGGAGCACGGAAGAGCTCTCCACCGGCTGATAGATTGGAGGGCCTGGCATACCATTGGGATTGACCGATCCCAGGGCATTTCAGAACTCGAGAAGATATTCACCAACAGTGGTCAACAACACTTTCTGAAACCATGGTTTTGAAACCATGTGTTGGAAACATTTGGAAACTATGTTTCGGAAATTAGGGATGTTCTGGAAAGTACACATGTTTCTGAAAGGATGTTCGGAAAATGACTATGTTTTGGAAACTGTTTGGAATGTTTTGGAAACTTCATTTGATGTGAAAACATGTTTCGGAAACTCTATGGCTTTCGGAACCACCTGACCCCACCTGAGCCAGCAAGCGTCTACACGAAGTTACGAAGTTAGATACTGTCCCAAACACAAAGAACGCCAACGTTAGCCCCCACCCCTCCACACCGACCCACCCACCCCCGCACGCATGCACGCAAGCCAGGAAGTGTCTACACTAAGTTACATACTATCGTAATTGTGGTTTTTGACAAGCAAGTAGTTTCACAAGCGTGGTGTCTGAAGCGTGGTTTCTGAAATGCACATAGATTCTAAGGATGGAGTTCCTGAAACTTAGTTCCTGCAACGCACATAGTTTCTGAAACGTAGTTTCTGAAACGCGCGTACAAATGTGTGCATGGTTGCTGAACACGGTTTCTGAAACGTGCATAGTTGCCTGAAACAGGCGTAGTTTCTGAAACGTACGTAGAGTCTCTGAAACGGATGCTTTTTAATCAGAGATGACCAGGGATGCTTTTCTTGTTGAAAGCGTCTCGAAGTGATGCGGAGGCAACTCATCAAGGCTCCAGCCAGTCACACCCGGCGGAGGGCCCCATGGCCTGAGAGTCAATTCTTGAGGCCCTTTTGGTACCGAGAGTGACTAAATAAATGAAAGTCTGTGAGGCGTACTTGAGCGCCATGGATGTCCATGAGGTGCAATCAACACAATTGCCCGGCTGTGGATGTTTCTCCCAGAAAAGCTGTGCAAACACCTGGGCACCCCACCTGAAAATCGCGCCGCTTGGTGCTGCAGCATCGGGCCGGAAGATATTGCTGGGTGGTGGCATCCCAGGCCTCAGGCTCCATTGTTCGGTAAGAAGCAAGGCCGGCAAAAGCCGGCATGCGGCATGCGCCCTGAATCAAAACACTGGCACAAGGAAACAATAGCCTTTTGTCCTCTTTGGTCTATGTGCAATGTATGGCCTTGGGCCATGGGGAGTCATTTCTTTTCAGCGATACTTAGTCTCAGGGAGTTCAGATCTTCGTGCCTGATAACCAAGTGCCTCTGTGGCTTCTCATTCATGAGTCTTTCTCAACATGAAGAGACGCTTTTGACTGCTATGTCATGCTATGTCATGCTATGCCTATGTTCTCATAATTTCTCACATTCCTTTGCATCCCATGTCCGAAACCAAAAGACAAACCCTTTGGAGGTCTCAGTCTGACTCAGCCCGCCGCCACGTCCACGGCGCTCCCGGCGGGCCCGGAGCGCCCGGCGGGCCCGGCCAGTGGGGGCCGGGCACCGCGGGGCCGACGGGCGGGACGGGCGAAAAGGGGCCCAGATGTGGTGGAAGAGGTGGAAGTCCCCAAGGTGGACCTGAGTTACATGGTGGATCGATCTTTTAGAAAAAGAGCTGATTAGAAGCAGATATCAGAACCTCTAGGGAGGGTTGACTCCGCGAGCCTGGTGGTGGAACACTTGGTGCACCAGCAGGTGGAGGTGGCAGCTTGTCAAACCTCAGAACGGGGCTGGCAGACCCAACCTGCGCTGTGGCAGATGATGTGTCTTTGTAAAGTCAAAGAAAGTCCAAACATGAGCGGGCAAGCGTATCCAATTCGAAGTTGGGAGCACCAGGTTTGGCAGCATGCAAAGCATGCACCGTCTAGCAAGCTGAGGACAGCACTTGCTGCAAAACCAAGATTCATGACCAAACTCAAGAGCCACCTGCTGAAACAAAAAACGCCACAATGATGCTAGAAGACCTTTAGTCAAGGAGCCAAACAGGAAAAAAGAATCCACGGTTGGTCTAGGATGATGTGAGGCTTCTGATTGGCCTTTGTGATTTCTCTGTTCGTTCTTCGTCTGGGGCTGTTCGTCCTTCGTCTCATGGATCGGCACTGGGCACTGAAGAGTCGCAAAGATTTGTAAGCGATTTAAGAGATATGCCTGCAAATCACTCTGCATCCCTCCAGCAAGATCTTGCTGGAGGTGGCGGAAAAGGCGGCATGCAAACGTTGAGCTATTCGCTGGGAGACAATAACCAGGCATGGCAACTGCCATGTCCATGTGCTTGATCATCAAGCACGATCCAGTCTGATGTATCAAACTGGGTGGAAGATTGAAGAAAGCGTGGGTCAGAATCGGTCAGAATGTTAGTTTTTTGGGCCATGCTTACCCCCCTTCGCGGCCTAGTTTCCAGACCTTAGATTGGAGAACCGGGGAGATTTCGAGGCTGAAGCGACCCACAGCTTCTTCCTAAACTTTCCTATGGCTACTTGGCGGCTGAGCAATTCATTCTCCACAGGCACCGTGGGATTGAGTCACTCAGTTGCTCCATACCTCAGTTTCTCCAGACTCATCACCAAAATTCTTATGGGACCATCAATGATTAGAAGCACACACCTTTGCAACATGTCCAATGAAATCTGAGGCCCTGGCCGCATGAACACCAACCAGGATACTGAAGGAACCCACCAGAACCTCGGTATAAAACAAATGGGAAGCAAGCTGTGCTGGGGAGCAACAAGAAAAAAACAGTGCTTGTCACGTGATAGACATCCCACATTTGGGTCAAGCTGAGACGCCAGAAGTGAGGTGTAGGCCTTGGTTCAAAAATGTCCTGTGCTTTCGATGACCCAAACCACCAGGACTACTGGCATCATGAAGTCCATACGACTGCTTGAGTGTCCTTGTTCAGTTCTTGCAGAAAACGACACTGGCACCCTGCAATCAAGAGACATAGAGTGCCGGGTACAGAGGAAGAAGAGGTTTGCCGTTGCGAAGAGGCACTGAGAGCTCTGTCGATCCTGCGGGGTGGGATCAACGGTGGAAGCGTCGAAGGGATCATGCGCTTTTCTGACCGTGGAGGATGATCTAAAGACCAGCTGCAGCTAAGACCCTTGGGCTCTTTATGTTTGAAGGCCATTTGTACAGGCAGAATTTCTCGAGCTGTCCTTTTCTGGAGAGCTTCAGGTACACACTGGAAGGGCCTCGCGCAGACCGCACGCGTAAGAAGCCCAAACACACTATAAGAAAGCAAATGGCACCAATCAACCGTTGTTGTTCCGTTACAGTAGAACTCCACATCCATGAGCATCACAAGTCATCCCAAGCTGGAAGGGATTCTAAGCCCCCAACCGTTTGTGGCGAACTCCCATGTTTGGGATGTTTTGACTCACTTGCACCTCGTTTGGCCCGCCCAGCTTGGTTTTGCCGAGGATCAGATCCAGCAGAGGCTGGAGCCGACCACAGCGCCCAGGGTTCCGGTCACTTTGGAAACGTCCTGCAGAGTAGGGGGAGCTCAGCCTGCGCCTGGGCCTGATGGGCTGATGTGTGTGGAAACATCCGAGAATCTTGAAGAACCTCTGAAGAAAAGCATGGATTCGATATCAAGAATGCATGTTCTGGTTTCAATAAGCTACAATCACTCGACCAAGGCTTTTTCGATGGCAAAGCCTTATTGAGGCTTTGTCGCCCACTCCTCGACGCAGCATGCCACAAAGGAGATCGCACAAACCATCGTGCAGGTGATGGACACCTTCGTCGAAGCCCCAAGGTCTTGACGAACGTCGAGGGTCCAAGGTTTGGCCACTCAGGTTTGTCACTCACCACCGTGTCAAGATTGAAGTCCGGCTTTGAATGGTCCCTTCCTTTGAAAGCCTGGATCGTCCACCTGAAGCTCGATCCCAGAACGGACTGGTTCGAAATCAACATGGCCAAGGAGCATGTGCCAGCAACGGCTGCTTTCTCAAGGCCTGCATCAAGCTAATGAACTCCGACATTCAGACCACTCATGTATGCTGCAAAGAAGTATCTGGCTCAGGAGCTTGGGATATCAGCTGACACCACAATGTATTGTCTTGTGTTGAGGCTTCCAAATGTTTGATCATGGAGCTTGCTCTTGACAGCTCCAAAATTCTCAGGCTCCAGGCCTCCTGCAAGGCTGGCTGAGATCCTACCAGCGCTTCTCGTGCTGCAGTGAACACCAAGGGGTAGGTGAAAATGACTGCCTCGAACGTATCAACGCATGTTTCACGTAACGTATCGTGGCCATCAGGCGGCGTTCGTTGGGATTTCTAAGACACACCGAGGAGCAAAGGCCATGCCAAACCAAACCATCCTGATGCAAAAGAGACGACTCTGCTGGCTCAACCAACTCCTCAAACTTCACAAACTGCAGCTGTGGTGCATGATGGCGGTGTTGTCCGGGTCATAGTTTCGAAGCACATTACCTCGGATGAGCTTTCGTCTTTCGTTCGAAGCATCTTCAAAGGATCAGAGTGATGGTGTTCCACATTGTTCCACAATGAATTGTCCAGTCCGTTGTTCAGGACACCCAGCTGATGCTCAAACTCTCTACTCAGAGATCCAGGCCGACCAACTCATCTCCAAAGAGTCCAAGGCCAGATACTGCGAAGACGGAATAGATCTGCAAACGCCACAAGACAGGCTCTCTTTTTAAGGCCGCTCCTACTAATTAAGTAGGCGCCTACTTAATCAAGTCAGGGACGAGCTTGTAAGCTACTAGCAACAGGAAGCTCCTAGCTAGGACGCGATAGCTCACGCTTCTTCAAGGAACCTCCCCCCGCCTGAGGATGGGGGAGCTTCCTTGAAGAAGCACTCGCGCTAAGGATTTGGTTCCTAGATGTTTATGGAAACTTAACTTTGGAACTTACTCAAAGAGTTGACGGGCTACGTCTCAAGATGTTTCGGAAGTCTTCTAGAAAGGTGCACTTTGGCTCTTGAGGTGCTCATCGCTCTTTCAGGACTCACATCAAAGATCACCAATCCAAACAACTCGCAAACCTTTTGGGTAAATAAATATGTGTGTGTGTGTGATAACCATGGGAAGGAGCAAAACCAAGGTGGGGCTATGGTCCATAATTTAATGGTCACTGGTGAGTTGTTCTGAGTTTGTGGCCGTCAATGCAGTGCTAAAGCTGGCGACCACCGTTTGCGCATGGGCTTTGAGGTCGCCACCAAGCCTAATTGAAGGCTCTAAGTCTCATCAACCATGTTTGCACTTGGGTATAAACACAAAGGGAAAAGTGGCAAGCAGGTTAGATATGGTTAATTTAATTTTGTCCTGTGACTTCATGAACAACCTAAGCCTCTAAGCTCAGCACTGCTTGAAAATGCGAGGTGCGTTGTAATGAGCCTGGACATTGAGAAAAGTCCAAAGGGGTTCACTAGCTGTGTCCATTGCCCATGATATGTGTGTTTTTTCATCAGAACGTCACCGGTCGCAGAACTCTCCTGAAAGGCACCGGTGCAAAGGGCAACGGTTCTGAAGATGCCCATGTTGAGGTGCAGGGCGTGCGCCTGAAAATCAAGGTGTGATGGTTTTTCTCAAGATTCCAAGGCACCCTGCATGTTCGAAGTGTCTCTCCTTGAGGTTGTTCCGAGCATGTTCGAAGTTTCCGAAGCAGTCATGCACAATGAACCTGCGAAGATCAAGATGTGACCCCGCCGGAGTCTCTCACAAAAAAACACATCTGCAGATTCTGAGTTGCATCCAAGCAGCAGGAACCTGAGAGGAAGGGTTGTGAGACATGTGACAAATCTGGTAACTCTCAATCTCATGGCCATTGACTATAGATTGACTTGTGCTGTGTAGCTCGGAGTGCAAACTCTGTTTCTACGCCATCCAAGCTCAGCAAGGCTGCCGAGGCACACAAATGCTACGATCACAAGGCCCAGCATGGAAGTGTAGCGCAGCGCGGAGAGGTCTTTTGCATGTGAGAGCGGCAGCATAAAGCAACCTTCATGGCACTAAAGGCTACCCGAGGGTACTGCAGTAAGCAATCCGCTTGGTTCTCACAAACACATCCCGCTCGTGGACATATGGACATACGTGCATCAGGCACAAGCAGTTTTTCCCGAATGCGTAGCGAAGGGTTCTCATTTAACTCCGGGGGTCTGGGGGTAGAGTCTTGTTCGCGACTCGTTGTCTGAGCGACCGCAACCGTCCACAACCATTCGCAACCGTTTGCAACCGTCCACGGTAGGGCGCTAAGGCGCTGCCATTGGGGGAAGCTTTTGGAGAGGGTTTCGGATGGAAACGTGACGTGTCAGATTCGTGCCAAATAGCGAGGAATCATGTGGAAACGAAAGATGTTGAAGTCTGGAGGATGATTTCACTGCGCAGGCGCAGCGTTTTGTGAGATTCGCAGTTTTCTGCGCAGTCACATTGGGATTAGAATTTGGAGAGTGGTGTTTTTGGGGTGTTGGATGTGGCTGTGACATTGGGATTTGCGTTTGAGAGTGTTGCATCGAAGCTGACGATTTTGGTGGATGGGAGTGTGCTCAGAACGTGTCGAATCATTCCAACCGTGTGGTGTGGCGCAATTTTTGTTGAAGCTGACATGATACGATATTGTCACTTGCGCAGTACTTTGTGCGGGTTTTGTGGTATGGAAATGTGATTTTCGTGGCAGGCACAGGGAATCGTGAAGTTGCGAGGTGTGGCGGAGGTCACATGTCGTGGCAGGCGCAGTACTTCGTGCGTGTTAGGCGTGTGGACACGTAAAGTTTCGTGGCAGGTGCAGGGAATCGTGAGGTTGCGAGTTGTGGTGGAGGTGAATGTTGCTGTGACATTGGGATTGGTATGTGAGCGGGCGTTGTTTGGAGGGGCTGGAAAATCGCAAAACTGCTTGGCTGCTTGATGCGCGTGCTCTGACGGGGCTCCCTGCTTGACTTTTGGAGGAAGTCTTGTACGATACGTG